TCTTCTAACCGCCTCTTTGTTATTGTGATCCTCTTCTCCTCCGTCCTCCCATCGTCGCCAGCAAAGCCCAGGGCCCCGGCCAAACCCGTCACACCCTCAGGAGGGGCAGGACGAAGCCTCGTGCACCTTAAAACTAGGTGCTCAAGTGTCTCACTCTCATCACGGCATGCAGCGCATAATGTGTCTATCTCCTGAAATTTAGCCCTATACGTCTTCGTCCTCAAAACTCCCGTTCTCGCCTCGAAAAGTAAAGAACTTCCCAGCGAGTTGTCAAACACATTTTCCTTTCGTATGTCCTTTTTTTGTGACCTGTAAACCGTTAGAGTCGATTTTTCCTGCATTCTTCCCTCCCACATTTTCCTCTCTGCCTCTTTCACTCCCTTTTTCACTGAAGTAGTCTGCTCAGCCCCATCATTAGTGAGTAGGTATTTAAATGTAAGCTTTCGGGTTCGGTTTGTCCATTTTGTGTTTATGCTTTTCATGTATAAATACTTGTACACCTTACGTGCCCATCTCGTATCATCCATTTCAGTCAACCTTTGTTCAAATTTCAACTTACTGATTGCTTCCCTGCTCTCAAAAGACGACCAGCCCATGTCCCCCTGCACTCCCTCATTTGGTGTGTTTCCATGTGCTCCCAGTGCCAATCTGCCTACGCTTCTTTGCCGAATTTCTAATCCTGATTGAACCTCTGATTTCATGCAGAGCACCCCATTGCCAAAAGACAGTCCAGGTACCATCACTCCTTTCCATATACCCCTGACCACTTCATATCTATTATAGTTCCATAGTGCCTTGAGCTTCATAATAGATGAATTTCTTTTCCCTTTTCTAATTATATTCTCCTCATGTTCTTCTAGATATTTCTTTCCCTCATTGAACCAGACTCCCAGATATTTGTATTTTTCTACATGGTCTATTAAAATGTCTTGTATCCGCAGGGGTCCCCTCTTTTCATCATTAAACACCATTACTCCAGATTTGTCGCTACTAAAGCTCATGCCCAAGATGTCCCCTTCCTCTCCACACATGCCGGCTAGTTCCTGTAACATATCCTGGTTGTCTGCCATAAGTAATATGTCGTCCGCATACATCAATCCTGGTATTACCTGTCTTACCTTTCTCCCTCCTTCCATATAACTCACATCAAAACCTAAGTTGCTCTGCTCTAATTTCTTTTCCATTTCCCTGAGATATATCATGAAGAGCAGAGGCGACAGTGGACAACCCTGCCGGAGCCCTCTTTTTATTGCTGCGGGTTGTGTAATTTCTGCTTCCCATGTTATAACTACCTTATTGTCTGTGTACACCTGCTGCAGAAACCTAACCAAATTTGCATCCAAATTATACTCTTTCAGCCGACCCCAAAGTATTTCCTGGCTCACATTATCGTATGCTCCCTTGATGTCCAAATAAGCTAACCACAACGGAGTTTGGTTCTTGATTGCTATTTCTATACATTGGGTGGTGACGAATAAGTTATCTTCCAGTCTTCTATCTCTTCGGAATCCATTTTGAAGCTCACCCAGTATTTGCGTATCTTCTGCCCATTCCTGCATTTTCTGCTTTACAATCTGCATAGCTAATCTGTAAAGAACTGAGGTTACCGTTATCGGGCGATATGACTTAATGCTGTCTTTGTTTCCTTTGCCTTTATATATTAGTCTCATTCTACTTAGTTTCCAATCATTGGGTACTTCTCCTTTCATAATTGCTTGATTAATCACCTGCCGTAACTTCAATTTGCTTGTTTTTCCTAGTGTCTTTATGAGTTCCATGGGTATGTTGTCGGGGCCTGTTGCTGTACCTGCTGGAACCTTACTTTCTGCCTTATCCCATTCTCTTGTGTTTGTCTCCATTGTTATACAATTCTGCTCCTCCTCTACAGTGCTGCTGACAGTGCTATCCACCGTCCCCCTCTGCTCAAGCTGGGAGAAAGCCTTTTCGATTGTCTGTCTAATATATTCCTGTGCCTCTTCCCCCTGCACTCTTCTCCCCTCCTGTGTGGTCAGCGAGTGTTGGAAATCCTCTGTTTTTCTCCCCTGTGCTTTAATGTGCTCCCAAAACCTTTTTGCCGCATTCTTATCTTTTTTATTTATTTCCATCATCCACTGCACTCCTGCCCTCCCAATTTTGGCCTGTATTAAAGCTGATGCCTCCCTTTTCCGCTCTTGGAATCTCTCCCATTTTGATGTTACCTCAGCTGGCAGAGCTCCCCTTTTTTTTTGCCCACCTATGCTCCCTAGATGCCTCTTGGCGCCGCAATATGGCTGCTTTAACCTCCTTATCCCACCAGCTTTTTGGTTTGTGTCGTCACTTTTTCATTGTTGCCAGTAGAGACTTCGAGCTTGAAAAACACGGTGAGGACCAAAACTGTAAATTCAATAACTTCGCTAAAAAACAATATTTTGACCTAATATTTGGGATACTATTTTCGCGATGTTTGTTGGTTAGTTTAGCAAAATTTCAAGCAAATCGGAGACAATGACAAAATCGGTGGAGTAGCCCTTTAAAGGGATACTGAAGCGAAACTTGAAATACACCTATTATGGTCAGAAATAGGTTCAATATGATCAATGATATTCATAAATCATAATCGCGCGTTTGTATTTTGAACGGATGGCTATATTTTTCACCCTAATGGGCCCGATTGGGCGCGCGCTCAAAAATCGGCCATCGGAGATCGCGATGCGTCTTGGGATATTGGGCGCATTCGTGACGTCACTTGTGCCAGTCGGGAAAGGCTACGGCGTGAATGTTGTGGTTACGAGCGTTGCCACTTGCTGGCGCGTCGACGATTTACGACCTGTGACAACGTGGCCGTTTGAGATGTGCAAGGGCTGCACGCACGCTGCACCACGGGACCACGGCAAGTCGGCAACCACGGCAGCACTGACAAAACCAGCTCTGAGGCCGGATTCTCAAAGCGAATTCACGACGAAAAAGTGCGTACGACAAATTTGAGAGAAAACCCGTGCTCTCGAAACGAAATTGTCGTAACCTTTGCGCAGGTTACGACAGAATCCTACGACAGCTCCGAAGCTGTCTTACGCACTTTTTACGACCAAATCAACAAGGCCGACAGCGTCGCTCAGTTACTTGGTATCGGCCACCAACGGACATTTATTTTTTTTCGTGCTCTTCTCGTGCGTCCAGACTTCAACCAGCAAGAAAAAAGGAAGGAGTACTTAAAACAGACCACGACGATCAAGAACGCAGGATCCACAAACACACGAGAAGAGCTACAACAGCCACGATTCTGCCGACCGAGCGAGCTCGGCAGAATATAGTAGGCCTAGCAGCAACATCGACTCGGCGCACCGTTGCTCCGGCGGTCCTTGGCCAAGACCGTCTGTCCATGACCGGCTGGCCTGCTGAATGGAATATGCCCGCGCGACCCTTGTGGACCCTTACCGGATGAGTAGTTTGATCCCTGAACTAAATTTCAGAGGTCAATATTTTCCCCTTGTCATCTCGATCTCCTTGTTTTCCGAGACAGCGGTGACGAACGCTGTCGTCGAAAAGGGGCTCTCATTGATTCTATCTCCTTGTTTTGTGTGATATAGAGCTCAAATAAACGCCATACGGATTACCTTGGCAACTCGGTATGTACACTCTGTTATTAGTATGCCATTTTTATTCTGACTCGACGCTACGTCAGTGTCGAGCTATAGCAGTTCGTGGGAGCTACGCGATGTCGGTCTAACCTTTCTTTGCCGAGTGTCATGTCAGTATCGAGTTGCAATCTTAAAAGATCGGTCCAGAAGCGCTTACCGAAACGCGGTCTAACAGAGCGAATCCAGCACTTCGATCAAACGCGCGTGTCCGCTCCGAGTGTGAACAGGTATTTGGCATTTGCGTGGCTCTTGCTGACACCCTCGTAGTTCAAACATATCCTTTTTAACGTCGGCTTGCCGCTCGCGACTCGCAGCAACTAATACCGGCCGTGCCAGAAGCATGCTCGGGCCGTGTCGTACTTACAAAGAGCCGCAACGAGAACGAGCTCACTGTGGCCAACTACGCTTTGGCTTTCTCCGCCAAGGCTTTGCAAACGCGTTCAGGCCTACGCGAATTCTGCCGGCACGCCGTATTGCCGCAGAACGGCGCTGCTATTTTGGCACAAGTGATGTCACGAGAACTTCCCCCCATCCACCAGATGAGAATTTGAAATCGTTTAATTATGTTTAAAATTAGTTCTCCTGTGTTTTACAGCGCAATATTTATATTTCCGAGGTGGTGCCTGTCCCTAGCCCATATTTATGCAACAAGATCGGCGCTAAAATTTCGTTTCACTACCCCTTTAAGGGCAGCTGCCTACGCTGTCAGCTCGCGCTTCTATCTTTCGCTGCGGTACAACATAAGGTAAAACGGAGTATAGGAACTGTTTTTAAAAAAGTTTTGGCGCGATAATATTTTTAATATTTCCTAGAAAATATAAATCTTGAATTTTTACCTACGAACATCGATTTAGAATATGCTTTCTGCTGCTGACGAGCAAAAATTGTAAATAGCTCAAAGTAGCCACACAGCCACGCGGCGAATATCGACGCCAACTTCAGCGAATAGATTTGAATCTGGCGACACTGGGCCCTCCGGGAGGCGTTGGCCCCAAGGAGGTTAGAAGTACTAGGAGGGGGCACGTTGCAATATTGGTGAAGTTTAGTCATAAAAAGTTTAAACGATTTTGTGCCCAGCGTGACCGCAGAACTGTCTGGCGATTGGCGCGCGTGACATGTCACGTGCGACATGGATGGTTGATTGTAAGAGGATTCCTTGCAGGCTTGCGCGCGCTCCGTCCGGTAGGTTTTATCAGATCGAAGGCTAGACCAAGGAGGTTATATTTATACAATATATATACAACCTCCTTGGGCTAGACGAAGGCTAGCTATGGTCACGTGATGTGGGTAGAGTAAGGAGGAAAATGAGGCGTCAAGGGAGCATGGCTTGTGGAGGCTACGCGGCTGACGTCATGCCCTCTCCACACCCCTTGTCTGTCGCAGGTGGCTGTGCGCCTCCGGCCAGACGTACGGGCGGCCCATCGGGGGCCAGATGGAGATCTGCGGCCTGGGCCACCCCGCCAGCTCCTGCTACTGGAAGACCGCCGAGGGCGTCTACCTGAGGGAGGGGGACGCAACTTTGGCCCTGAGGGCCACCGCCCACACCTCCCACCTGCACCAGGAGCTCTGAGCTCTTGGCTCACATTGCCCCCGTTCCCTTCGGACCTTGCGAGACAAAGCATTAAAGTGCCCGCGACGACACGCTGTTTTTCGCTTCCTCCGCTCCGGCCCCCCGATGCCCAGGGGCGGACCTTTTGCCGCGCCTGAGCGGGATCGGGCAACGATCCTTGCTCTCGCGCGGAGAACGAGGAAAAAATAAAGCAACATGGCGGCGGCCTCTAGGCCGCCGCCATGTTGCTGATGCGCCTGGTGAGACTCTCGCGCCCCCTGTCAGCTAGACATCTTCTGCCACTCTCTTGGACTGTGAGCTGTGTTTTGCCGTTCTGCATTCGACGTTTTCTGGCCCCTCTTGAAAGTTCCATTTAATTCTTATGATGCATGCTGCGTACCCTTTCTGTGTTATCTTCCACTGTGAGAAATAGAGCTGCTAAGTGCCTGACAGTCGATCTTTTCTACTCAACATTCACGGGAAACGAAGGACGTCGAACGGCCCTCGACGCGGTTTCGCGAACAATGACCCCCTCCCTGAGATAATCCGCGCAGAGTCCAAAAATAGTTGTCCGGGTTGGGTCGGGAAACGGGTCAGTGGCATTCGTTCCTTTGGCTTGGTGCTGTTGTGAGAAAGGAAGCTCTCCCCAAGAAGTGCCCCAAAACGAAGTCAGCTTGGATTTCGTCCGATCGTCACGATGTGACTGTCGTCGACTGTGACTGTGTTATTTGAGATATTTCTCAAATAAACTCTTCAGATAACGCTGCATCGTACAATATAATTTAGGGTTGTTCGTTTTCGGGTTTTAGATATATATATATATATATAGGTAATTTCATTTCAAATCGGGCAGGCTAAGAGAGTCTAATCTTTAATATTTACGAAAAAAAAAATATGTTTTGGGTTAATTTCTCATATGAAGGAGGGCGCAAACCGCATGTTCCCCAGATTTTTTGTTCTCGAGTTACGAGCCGTAGAAGCCGCAGTGGCAGAAACTAGTGTTTTTGCCTGCCGTCGCAGGTCGCGTGTTTGACACCCTCTGCTGACGTTATGGTATTCTCTACACCATTCTAACTTTTCCCCCTCATCTAATAGGTATTATAAAGATACCTTGATACATTAAAATAGTTTTATGAATTTGATTGTTTTCTAGAAAAACCTGTCAAACTCGTCACTCCGGTCGCTTTATGGTCAACTTTGACAGGTCATTACTTTGTCTGTACTTAAGGTAAATTTTATTTCTTTGGCTCTACAGAAAGCCCAAAGCAAGCACATTATAGATATATTAATATCATTATGATCTGTGGACTAGCCGCTCCGCTACCTTCACGTAAACGTTGTAAGAAATAAATGTTGAAAGTTTGAGGTCGATTTTCTCAAAAACTTCATTTTTGTAAATATGCTTTTCAATTCTTTTAGACATTTTAGTCGACTACAAGAAAAAACAGTCTAGAAATGTAATATTTTGGTTGTATGTCCTCTATTTGAGCCGCAATCACGTGAAATGTGTGAAGATTTGTTATTTTTCACAACGTTTACGTGAAGGTAGCGGAGCGGCTACTCATCAGATCATAATGATAGTACTATATCTATACTAGGCATGCTTAGGGCTTTCTATGAAGCCCAAGAAATAAAATGTACCTTAAGTACGGACAAACTAATGAGCTGTCAAAGTTGACCAAAAATCGACCTGAGTGACGAGTTCGACATTTTGTTTAGAAAACAATCAAACTATTAGAAATATTTGAATACGTGAAGGTATTTTTATAGTACCTATTGAATGAGGAGAAAAACTTAAAAGGGTGTAGAAAAAACACTAGCGCCAGCAGAGGGTGTCAAACACGCGACCTGCGACGGCAGGCAAAAACACTAGTTTCTGTAAACGTTGTGAAAAATAACAAATGTTCACACATTACACGCGATTTCGGTTCAAACAGAGGACATACAACCAAAATATTACATTTCTAGACTTTTTTTTCTTGTAGTCGACTAAAATGTCTAAAAGAATTTAAAAAATAAAAATTTACAAAAATGGGGTTTTTGAGAAAATCGACCTCAAACTTCAATCAACTTTTGTTATTTCTTACAACGTTTACGTGAAGGTAGCGGAGCGGCTAGTCGACAGATTATAATGATATTATTCTATCTACGATGGGCTTGCTTTGGGCTTTCTGTACAGCCAAAGTAAAAAGAAATTACCCTAAGTACAGACAAAGTAATGACCTGTCAAAGTTGACTAAAAAGCGACTGGAGTGACGAGTTTTACATGTATTTTAGAAAACAATCAAATTCGTAAAAATATTTGTAAACACCAAGGTATCTTTATAATACCTATTAAATGAGGGGGAAAAGTTAAAAGGGTGTAGAGAAAACAATAGCGCCAGCAGAGGGTGTCAAACGCGCGACCTGCGACGGCAGGCAAAAACACTAGTTTCTGTCACTGCGGCTTCTACGGCTCGTGTAACTCGAGAACAAAAAATCTGAGGCCAGATTCATAAAAAACCTCTTACCTACGACAACTTAGCTACGAAGTTCGTAAAGCTACGATCATCGTAAGATGAGGCGAGAACGGTATTCACAAACGCGTTCTTAAGTGAGAGGAGGAAAGTTACGACCTCTTACGGGGAAACGATGACTTCCGGTGCTGTTGCTATGGCAACGGCGTCTTCGGCAAAACGAACAACCAATTAGAGAGCTAGGCATAGTTCGGAGCACGTGGATTTTTAATAACAAACGCAGGCTAACCACTCGTTGATAGACAGCTCTGTATATGTCCTGTCCTGTCTGTGTGTAAATGTTTAGTGTTCAAGCTGATTCTCATAAACACGCGGACCTTTCCACCACCGCTTGTCTGGGGTTCGTGTCCGTGCAGTGGTATATCGACGCTAACACGATTTAAACGCTTCGTTGACTGCTACAAACTCGATCGCTACGAAGTCAAACTGTCATCGTTGGTAAAAGCCCCGTGCCAGTCGTTTGCAACGCGACGTAGAAGGAAACAAACCGCAGCGGAGTTTCTCGTGGCCTCGGAAATGCAGGAGTGAGCCGACGTTAAAAAAGATACGTTTGAACTACGAGAGTGTCAGCAAGAGTCACGCAAATACCTGTTCACACTCGGAGCGGACGCGTGCGTTTGATCGAAGTGCTGGATTCAGACTGCGTTTCGGTAAGCGCTTCGGGACCGATCTTCTACGATTGCAACTCGATACTGACGTGACACTCGGCAAAGAAAGGTTGGACCGGCATCGCGTAGCTCCCAGAAACTGATGTGTACATACCGCGTTGCGAAGGTAATCCATACGGCGTTTATTTGAGCTCTATATCACAGAAAACAAGGAGATAGAATCGAGGAGTTCCTTTTCGACGACAGCGTTCGTCACCGCTGCCTCGGAAAACAAGGTGATCGAGATGATCGGTTGACCTTTGAAATTTAGTTCAGCTATCAAACTATTCATACGGGGAGGGTCCACGAGGGTCGCGCGGGCATATTCCATTCAGCAAGCCAGCCGGTCGTGGGCAGACGGTCTTGGCCAAGGACCGTCTGAGCAATGCTGCGCCGGAACGGGTCGGAGTGCCTGCTAAGCCTATATATTCTGCCGAGCTCGCTTGGTCGGTGGGATCGTTGCCTTTGTTGCCTTTTCCGGGTGTCTGTGGATCCAGCGTTCATGTTCGTCGTGGTCGGTTTCAAGTACTTCTTCATTTTTTTTTCTTGCTGCTTGAAGTCGGGACGCGCAAGAAGAGCAGGTAGAAAAATAAATGTCCGTTGGTCGTCGCGACCGAGCAACTGAGCGACGTTGTCGGCCATGTTAAAGGGACCATGAAATGACCTTTTTACTTTTTCCAGATAACTTTTACATTAAACCGTCAATGTTCACTGAATGCCGAACAGGCATTCGTTTTCGTCTCGGTTTATTAACTTCTACACAAAAAATTATTGAATTATCGACTTTTTCATTCTCTCCAACTGACCGCAAAAGAAGCCGTGACGTAGACCGTTTCCGGAACCGGAAGTTCTCTCGGCAGTAGGAGAATGGGAGTGTTAGCGGCAACGAGTTGGGGTGCGCCGGTAGGTTTTACTGCGCTGATGTCACCGACGTATTTCCTGAATCGGCGCCTCTCATCGCCGCATCGCAGCTGAGCGAAATTCAATGAGATATGTTGCGCTACAGCGACAGCATGGGACTAGTCCCATACGCCGGTATGCCTGTTGGGAAGTGCAGCGAGTCTTCCGGTGAAGACTCCAGAAGTCAACCACCCCGTCATTGTTGGCAGAAGAGCCGGCCCGTGTCAGTCGTTTGCAAAGCGACGTAGATGGCGTTTTTCGCGGCCTCGGAGATGCAGGAGCGAGCCGACGTTAAAAAAGATACGTTTGAACTACGAGTGTCAGCAAGAGCCACGTAAATACCTGTTTACACTCGGAGCGGACGCGCGCGCTTGATGGAAGTCTTGTATTCGCGCTGTTTGTAAGCGCTTCGGGACCGTTCTTTTACGATTGCGACTCGATACTGACGCGACACTCGGCAAAGAAAGGTTGGACCGGGGTTGTACGTATACCTCCCACGAACTGTTATAGCTCGACAGTGACGTGCAGTCTGTCAGAATAAAAATGGCATACCAATAACAAAGTGTACATACCGTGTTACGAAGGTAATCCATACGGCGTTTATTTCAGCTCTATATCACACAAAACAAGAAGATAGAATCGACGAGAGTCCCTTTTCGACGAGTGTTCGTCAACACTGCCTCGGAAAACAAGGGGAAGAGATTGACCTCACCTCTTAATCTAGAATTGAGGTCAGTGATCAAACTATAATACGGGAAGGGTCCACAAGGGTCGCGCGGGCATATTCCATTTAGCACGCCAGCCGATCGTAGGCAGACGGTCTTGCGACGAAGCAACGCAGCGCCGAGTCGGAATGCCTGCTAGGCCTATACGCTTCGTCGGAGTCGGTGGATCCAGCGTTCTTGTTCGTCGTGGTCTGTTTTAAAGGGGTGGTGCAATAATTTTCGGACTTCGGTCAAAGATTTCTAGAAGTTGCCCCCTGACACTTCTGAAGTAAAGAACAGAAAACCGATTTCGCCTGCGTGTC